GTCTAGCCGTCTATCTATCTATCTATCTATCTATCTGTCTGTCTGTCTAGCCGTCTGTCTGTCTATCTAGCCATCTATCTATCTATCTGTCTGTCTGTCTGTCTGTCTAGCCGTCTGTCTGTCTGTCCGTCTAGCCGTCTATCTATCTATCTATCTGTCTGTCTGTCTGTCTCTGTCTGTCTGTCTGTCTCTGTCTGTCTGTCTGTCTCTGTCTGTCTGTCTGTCTCTGTCTGTCTGTCTGTCTCTGTCTGTCTGTCTGTCTCTGTCTGTCTGTCTGTCTCTGTCTGTCTGTCTGTCTCTGTCTGTCTGTCTGTCTCTGTCTGTCTGTCTGTCTCTGTCTGTCTGTCTGTCTCTGTCTGTCTGTCTGTCTCTGTCTGTCTGTCTGTCTGTCTGTATGTCTGTCTGTCTGTCTGTCTAGCCATCTATCTATCTGTCTAGCCGTCTGTCTGTCTGTCCGTCTAGCCGTCTATCTATCTGTCTCTCTGTCTGTCTGTCTAGCCGTCTATCTATCTGTCTATCTATCTGTCTGTCTGTCTGTCTGTCTCTGTCTGTCTGTCTGTCTCTGTCTGTCTACACAGTCATGAAGTGTTTCAAGTTTTAGTAGGTGCATATATGCATATATACATAATGTTGCTGGTTTTCTCTACAGGAATGCCAGTCATTCTGTCTGCAGGTGTGACATGGAGAATCCTGAGGCACCCAGATTAAATGTTGAAACGGTGAACGAGATGCATAACAAAGTAGAAGTCAAACCAAATTATGTGGCAAAGCTGCTTCAGGACCACAACGAGTACACCTGCAGCGTTTGCGGCGTCAGCACCTTCTCGCTCGCTCGGATGAACAAACACATGCAGTCCCACGACCGCGATCGCCCGTTTCCCTGCGAGCTCTGCGGCAAGCGCTTCGGCTGTCGCAGCCATCACACAGAGCACCAGCGCGTTCATACGGGCGCTCGGCCGTATACCTGTGACCGCTGTGAATGGGCCTTTACCACCCGCCACAACCTGAAACGCCACCAGCTCGTCCATGATAAGGAGGAGACCTACAGCTGCAATGTGTGTGGCCTTCTCTTCTGCCAGGAGCATCAAATGAGGAGCATCATGAGGGTCCATCATGAGCAACGCGGGTCTCCAATCCGTCCAAAACTCAAGAATAAAACCAATCAGAACATGGACCAGAAGAAGAAAATACACAAAAGCCTCAAGAAACTTGGCAGAGATGCTTTCGAAAGGCTGAACACCAGAATCCAGAGGATTGCTTATGACATTGAGGTTGTGTTGTGAAGAATATCGACGACATTAGTGCTAGGCATCATACTTTAGGCTTTTTTTGTGGCCAGTGTGATTGCAACAATCGCAAACATGTCTTTTCGTCGTGTTGATAAGGAGCAGGGCTGTTGGTTTTCCCATATTTATATATTCTGCAACATCATAGAGCTTCTGCTCTAACATTGTCGCAACCAGAGTTGTAATGCAAGTGATGTAGTTTTGATATGTCGCTGCTCTCGTGTTCGGTATAAACGCATTGCTGTAGATCATTTACAGTTTTAGGTGACATTTTCTGTATTAATGTATTATTCAGTTGCGGTTTGGCCACAGGTGTTTGTATTTCAACTAATTTACTAAATCTCATGACAGTGTGCATCTACTCATTCGTTAAGAATAATCAGTTCTTCTGGTTCGCGTTCAAATCAAGTTCAAAATATAAAGAGAAATGAAATTGTTTGAGGAAATGATCATAAACTAGATGTCTTTGAGATAAAATCGGCAGTAAAAAAAATACAAAGGAACGTTTTTGTTGAGACTCTTGTGCACTTTTAGATTTAAATCCATCAATCTATAGGAAACCACAGAGCGGTTAAAGAAAACGGTTAAAAGCTGGAATTCTAGCTATAGCCGCTATAGTATAGCGATGCAGATCTAAGACAATGAGGAGCATTACTATATAATGTCTTAAGTGATTTTCTAAAGACGCTGGAATGGACAACAGTATCCATCAGAAATGTACGTCTTTGATATTTCTATAATGTGCTCTAAGCAGTGCATTTATATAATGCTCTTCACTTTAGACTTTTACATTAAGTAGTTTTCTTAGCATAAAAAGTTCTGCTTTTATTATTTAAAATGTTTTTATTTCTGCTTCTCAAGGCCTGTTTTTGTCGTGCCTGTATAAAGCACTTGAATATGACATGTTTGATGTAAATAAACGTTTTTTTCTCATGGTATTACGCCAAAACAAAACTTTGTGAATTTCACGCTCCCCGTGTATTTGTTCTTTCACTTTCACTTGAAAGTACACTCTGTTTTTATTGGAGGTTGGCATCGGTAATACCATAGTAACTGCATGGCAATGTGCTGAAATCTATCCGAAACATTCTGGCATTGTAGATGTCACTATTGCACAGGTAACCAATCACATTTCAGTTCTTATCTTATGTGATGACTCTTCACCACCACCAGATGGCAGCACCTTCAAACAGGTAAGATGTGCACACGTTGCCTTGTTTTTTTGTTTTTGTTTTAAATGGGCTAAAGTGTATTCCTTTTTGGTGGGTTTTGAGTCAGCTTTGTACTCCAGACAATGCATCATCCAGTGCATCATTCTCAGGTTGTTAAAGTAACATATTGCTGTTCATCTTGTGTAAAGACTCTGTATCTATTGTTTCTCAAGTGTATAATAACAATGTTGTTGTTGAACCTTGATTTGTGAGCTTTTCCTCCCAAAATCCCTAAAACCATGCCAAAAAAAAGAGACTTTTTGTTCTCATCTTCATCTGATTGAACATGCATAGCTGTTGCATTAGACTTAAAAGGATAGTTACTCAAAGTTGTCAATTCTGTAATCAGTAATGAAACTCTTCATGATGTTACAAACCTGTATGAATTTTTTTTTCTTTCTACGGAATACAAAAGAAGATAATTTGAAGAATGTTGGGAACCAAACAACACTGGACCTTATAGACTTTCTTTGCATGTACAAAAAGTAAACACTAAGACGTTTTTCCCAAATATATGGACATGAAGGTGAGTACATGATTACAGAACGATACTTTAAAGTGAACTATCTATCCCCTTAAGGGCTGTGCTTGTGTGATAATTCCTCTCCATCACAAGGTGGCAGCACCTCCAAACATGAGATTAGGTTTGTGCTCAGTATTCTTCATGGTTTGCATATTACTATTTGCATGCACAGAAAACCCAGATAATCTACCACGTTTTGTCAGATGTACAAAGTACAGCCTGAGGACACTGTTTGAGGTCACCTTGACCTACCGTTTCTAGTGCAACAAATTACATTCTCCAAAAATGTAATTAAATTGGTGCAATAACCACTTTATTTCCAGGACAAACTAACTCAAACAGCATGTTGAACCATATACAGTATGCAAGAATAAACACTTCCAACAGTGTGTTGTTCAGCATACACATTTTGGCAAAATCCATACTAAAACCTCCCAAGTGCTGACAGTGTTCAATGACACTGAACCTCCCAGAATCCACCTGGAAACAAAGTTGTGTTTCAAGCTTCTGGATTGATGCAGTGAGTGGTGTTCAGGATGAAGTTTAGCAGATTAGTGCTCAAGTTCTGTTTTAGATACCGAGTAAGAAGCTTGCTAGATATTTTTGAGCAAAAACTTATATGTGACCCTGGAGCACAAAAGCAGTCTTAAGTCGCTGGGGGATATTTGTAGCAATAGCCAACAATACATTGTATCGGTCAAAATTATCCATTTTTCTTTTATGCCAAAAATCATTAGGATATTATGTAAAGATCATGTTCCATGAAGATATTTTGTAAATTTTCTACTGTAAATATATTCAAACTTATATAATATGCATTGCTAAGAACTTCATTTGGACAACTTTAAAGATGATTTTCTCAGTATTTAGATTTTTTTGCACCCTCAGATTCCAGAATTCCAAATAGTTGTATCTCGGCCAAATATTGTTCTATCCTAACAAACCATACATCAATGGAAAACTTATTTATTCAGCTTTCGGATGATGTATAAATCTCAATTTCGAAAAATTGACCCTTATGACTGGGTTTGTGGTCCAGGGTCACATATAAAGTTGAAGTTGTCACAAAGTCTGTGCAACTGTTCATGGAGTCTGTCATTATTACGGTATAATCTACTTAAACCAGGTCCTGAACGTGACAAACCAAAATTAACTGTGATTTAAGGCTTCATCTCAATCAGAACGAAGGGCCTATAAAGTTATGAAAATGTTATTTCTGACTATTCTGTAAACGTTCAAAACGTCCAGTTTTCATATTCTAAAAAAAAGTTTTTCTTTGCAAATGTTAGGGGAACATTCTATTTGATCATTTTGCTACATTATGGGAATGTTACTGTTGAATGTCCTGTAAACATTCTGAAACAAGTAGTAACATTAAAAAAAAAAGTTAAACAAATGTCCAACAACATATTTCAGGAAAAACCCCAAAGTAAAAATTATTTCATCGTTTACTCAGACTCAAGTTATTCTAAAACTGTATGAGTTTCTTTCCTCCTCATTTGCTTGCGAAAGAATAAATTTTGAATAATGTTGGTAACCAAACACTCGATGGCACCCATTGACTTCCATAGTATTTTTTACATACTATAGAAGTCAATGGCTACCGTTATCTGTTTGGTTACTTACCAACATTCTTCAAAATATCTCCTTTGAGAGTAAATTATGACAGAATTTTCATTTCCAGGTGAGCTGTCCTTTTAATGTTAAGAATGTTGAAAATGAATAATTCATAATACTTTGTTCATAACTTTGAGAGAACCTTGCCAGATCATTCTGAGAATGTTAGCTGGAAGAGCGTTATGTTTGCTCCAGATCGTGCAGTCTGTCTCTGAGTTAACTTAAGTAGACTCCCGCTGCACTCAATGAAGGATTTCCTCGAATGAGCGTCAGTCACATGATCTCTCTGCCTCACTCTGCTCTGGCCCAGAAGCCTCTATAGGAGGTGTGAGATTCCCTATAGCAGCGCGAGGCCGAACCCCTGGACTCTTCCGCTTACTGTAACCGTCTCCTGATGGATTCTCCACTGTCTGGAGGTGATTATGTTGGCAATGATTCAATTTAATGCAGTGAAGTCTGTCCATTAACAAGCCATGATTAGAACAGTTCTGTGGAATACTGGACTGATTAACCAGTCCTGGGATTCACTGTATAATGTCGCCACATAATTTGAATTCAGATCCATTGCTTTGCTTTGCTTTGCTTTGCTTTTTTGCTTTGCTTTTTTGCTTTGCTTTGCTTTTTTTGCTTTGCTTTGCTTTTTTGCTTTGCTTTTTTGCTTTGCTTTGCTTTGCTTTTTTGCTTTGCTTTTTTGTTTTGATCCTGATCACCCAACTGGGTTGGCTGGTTTTATTTTATTTTTTTAAATCAAATGTTTCATGTTTTGTTTTTTATTATATTATCCATTTTTATTTTTGATATTAAGCACCATGGTAAATGACTACCATATTCATATACCAAGATATTTTCATGGTACTCCAAAGTACTTCTAAGAATACCATGGTACTATCATGGTGCATGTCAAGTAAACATGGAAATACAATGGTATTGTTATGATTACCATAGTATAGTTCCAGAAAATGTAGTGTTTTCATATTACTCATATAGGTACTTTAAAGAATATAGTGGTATTACCATGGTACAAGTCCAAAATACGTGGTACTACCATGCTACAGTACAATTAGCATAATCATATGCCTTTGTATTTTAATGGTTTATCACTGGTATTGTCAGTAACTCATTTGATTTTATGGACTACTTGGAAACAAACTCGACTTGTCTAATAGATGCAGCAGTTTTAATGGAGGAACAGTGATGTGAGCGCTTGATTCTGTCTCTCATTGTCTTCCTCTTGTTTGTCCAGATCGCAGTGCAGATTGAAGTTACATGTTCTGTCATGGTACACCTGCCTGAGGCCACACAGCAGCAGAGTTCAGCCTGAGGTTCATGCTGAAGTTTGATTCATGCTCTGAATTGTTAAACGTCCTCTCCGTGCACAGACAAACACGTAAGTACACGCGCACACATAAGCAGGAGCTCATATGTTTAAAGCATATAAATTTGGCTCATGGATATTAATTAAATCATGTTGCTGATGCAACCGATGATGCGAAAGCATGCTGGTCAAGCAAAATGCTACTTCTGATAAAAACATTATTTCCCAAAAAGAATTTGTATAGGTCGCTAGGCCTCTGCATGTACATGCAAACGCATGGCTGACTATTGTTGCCCCGGGGCAGGTTCAGCAGGGCAGGTAGGGTGCAAAGCCCTCGTGCCTCGCTGAGGAAACGCAGCCCTCTGACCTGACCTGTGAAATCACCCATCACCTAAAACCCCCAAACAACAGCTGTACTTCGGCAGCACAGATTCATGCTTAAAGGGATAGTTCACCCAAAAATGAAAATTCTGTCATTAGTTACTCACCCTCATGTCGTTCCAAACCTGTAAGACCTCCGTTCATCTTCAGAACACAAATTAAGATATTTTTGATGCATTCTGAGAGCTTCTACGTTTATCTCTCGTAGCTTTGTAAAATTACAGTTGAACCCCTGATGTCACATGGATTATTTTACCGATGTCCTTGCTACGTTTCTGGATCATTGATCATGTTAATTACATTGCTGTCTGTGGGAGGGTCAGAGAGCTCTCAGAATGCATCAAAAATATCTTAGTGTCTCGAAGATGAACGAAGGTCTTACAGGTTTGGAACGACATGAGGGTGAGTAATTAATGACAGAATTTTCATTTCTGTGTGAACTGTCCCTTTAAATATCTGATGGTATGATGAAAAAAAATGTGACTGAAAAAAGCTAAAAGCATCATACTTATACAGTTATATATTAGCATTATTGGGACATTTAGGGGTGTTCATGCAAGTCACAGATGTAACAAGATCATTAAAATGCAAACACGAACATGCCAAACATTTACTGATTTGTATTTGCATGATGAAGCTTCGCTGCAGATGTGTTTAATGACTGCGGCTCAGAAACTTCATACACTTCCCGTCTACAGCAAGCAATGTTCAAAATGTAGTTTGTGCGTTTATACCCTGCAGAAAAAAGAAATGCATTTAGGTTTAGAATGACATAAGGTGGAGTAAATGATGCCAGAATTTTCATTTTTGGTTGGATTGTCCCTGAAATTTACTGAATAAAACATTAAAATCACAATTTAAAAATAATGGAAATTAGATTAATCTCTTTTAATATAAAATGGATTTTGTTTTAATTTATAATTACTTTATAGGTTTTTTTTTTTTACCCCGTGTCATTAATATCCTCAGTATCACTTTACATCCTTTTGTTTTATTTATTTATTTATTTATTTATTTATTTTTAGCTGACAAAAGCCAGTTCCTTAATGACAACATCCTCTAGGAAGTGACATCATTTTGGAGGGGAAACCACAACACAGGCATCAGTGAGTATTTTCATTGCATTTGATG